CGTTCCCCGCTTCCTCCGCCGTCGCCAACAGCAGTATGTGTGTGTGTCCCGCCCCCCTTGTCCATGTTCCCTGTCTCTGTGTAGTACGTGTCTTGCCAGTAGCAGCAGCAGTGTGTGCAGCACGGCAGTGCGTCGTGGTTTCTTGCGTGCGTGTAGTTTGTTGCCCAAAGAAAAACAAAAATGACGACGCCTCCCGGGGATGCGTCCATGTGACATATATATTTGCACAAACGGTATGCTATCTCGAGACACCCAGCACGGATTGCAAAGGTAGCGCTTGGGACAGCTCGGGCAAAATTTAACGTGTTGTGCGCAAGTTTGAGTTTGCAATTTGGTGCCGAGATGGTGAAATGGGCTCGAGTCTGCTGGGTATNCGCCTCCCGGGGATGCGTCCATGTGACATATATATTTGCACAAACGGTATGCTATCTCGAGACACCCAGCACGGATTGCAAAGGTAGCGCTTGGGACAGCTCGGGCAAAATTTAACGTGTTGTGCGCAAGTTTGAGTTTGCAATTTGGTGCCGAGATGGTGAAATGGGCTCGAGTCTGCCGGGTATTTAGGGCGCGCAGACACCAGACAGACAGCCATGGCTAAATATTCACGCCCCTGTGCATGAAAATTATTCTTTTTTCTCGTGCGCACATACTCCACACACGATCCCTCTAAACTCTAAACAGCTTTTTTTTTGTCAAACAAAACAAAAAGCGTATCCCTAACGGGCCCCACTTTTTCAAAAAAAAAACTATTAAAAAGAGAAACTTGGAAAAAAGTTGAGATGGCGATGAGATACACCCCTCAAAGTATACCTGATATTCCAGATTAAAATGCGCGGAGAACGACGGTGCGGGTATTAAGGGCAGGTTCCGGTGATGGTCGATTTGCAAAGTTTCTGAAGCGTACTAGGACGTCAAATTTGGCACACATAATCTTAGTATGATGGGCGTTCGATTAACCGGGGACACAATGCTTTAAAGGAGTATAAGCCGTGGGCGGTAGCTTGCTCCTAGAGATATATGAAGATAGGTTCTGTCGTTGACACGCTTGTCCACGACCACGTTGAGATGGGAAGGTTGCTTGTTATTGCTGAGAGACGATCAGCAAGGGTCTGAGGTTGAGGGCGATCTGCCCTCAACCTAGGGGACACGCAGACAGCTAAATCCCGATGGGGTACGTCCTAGGGGGCACGCAGATAGCTAAATCCCGATGGGGTACGTCCTATGAGGATATACCTACTGACGTCCCCCATCATGATCTACACCGACAGTGTACTCTATCTGTGCCGTACAGCAACACTCCTTAACACTAGCCCACCCTGAAGATCATCTATACAGATTCTATACTCAAATCCTAAAGCTACTAAAAGCTGATGATTTAGGATCATGAATCGAAAGATATGACTCTTCACAAATGTATCCAAAGGAAAAGGGAGCTGTAGGAATATCCCGACTCGACCCCCCACACCACCATTGAGACAAAAAGGGGATTCCGATGACGACGCGGAGACCTGACTCAATGATAAGGTNGCCCATATCCCCGGTTTTTCGGGTCAATTCTGCGGGGCGAAAAATACCCATTTTGGGGGATAGTGCGGGTTGTGTTGCCTTGAACCAGCTCAACCGTTGAAGTTGATGAATTAACGACTAGTACGTATCCTGTTCTGAGTCACAAACAAAAAAAAACCGTTAAACGTATGCCTATGGATGGTGATATGCCTGTCCAAACATGGGCACTTTTCCCCCCTTTTTGGCTTGTACGGCAGCAAATTCCGCCAGAACCGTGCCACATGTTGAAGCAACTATTTTACACCCATATTAACCCCCCGCGTGACGCCGTTTCAGAGGAACGTATTGAAGGTTGCAGAAAACACGTTGGATAACAAAAAAAAAAAATACATAGCCCAGGGGACAAAAGTACAGCATCCCCGGGTTTGTCCACAAGTTGTCCGCCAGCCATTCCCGCCTCCCCCTCGACGTGCTGTTTGACAACCACGTTACCTGAAGCACCCTCGTGACCCGTACTGAACACTCAACAGTTCGAAATCAGTTCCACACACAAATTTCAAGCCATTCAGAGCTAACTTTAGCCCGATACCATGTGGTTCTCTGCACAACAATACAACCCCCACCTCCCCGAAGAAACCTAGACATCCACTACAGGTGTCGGCGTGCGGGTTCGTCCCGATCGCGATACGGACGCCGCCGGCGGCTGACCCCCGGTGATTCCTGACCCTCCCGCCCCTCCCGCCCCTCCCGCTCCTTCCGCCCCTCTCCCACCGCGGCTAGGACCACCTCCCCGCCCATGCCCCCCCGTGCCCTCGCCGCGGCCACCAACAGTGCGCCCGCCCACCCGCGCGCCCCGCCCACGCCCCCCTCGCCCCCCTTGAACAACACCAACACCTCGCCCCCCCCCTTCCTCCCTCCCTCTCTCGGTTCGCTCGTCCCTCCTACTCTCCTCTTCTCGCCCGCCCCCCCGCCCCCTTCTCTGGCCCCACCCTCTGCCCCGCCCCTGCCCCCGTCCCCGCCCGCCGTTCCTCGCCGCCGCCGCCGCCGCCGCCGCCGCCTTCGCGTCCCGTGCCGTTTGCCTCGCCGCGGCCTTTGCCGCCTTGGCGGCCTCGGCAGCCTCGGCTTCGTTTTGTTTCTTCTTCATCTCCGCCAACCACCCGTCACAAGTGAGAAGTCCTCCCTCTGGAATGCCCAAGTTCGCCCGGGTTGGCGGCTTCTTGGATCGCTTGCTGGGCAGGTAGTCGCCGAGAAACACCGTGCTCACGCGGAGTCCCGTGAGGGTGTGGCCTTCCCCCAGGAGCTTGCGGACGGCGCGTTCGCCCAGCAATTCCTCCAGCCGATCGTTGCTCACGGCGATGGGGACGTCTTGCAGGGGAGGGCGGTCGGTTTCCCTCTCCTTCCTCTTGGGTTTCAGCAGCCGACTGAGTGCCCGTTCCTTGTCCACCGGCCAAAGGCCCGCCCCGGCGAAGGAAGCTTTGTTGATGTCCGGCGTAAAGCTCGTGCTCCACGCTTGCCCGATCACGGAGGCCATGTCCCGCTTCCGCGGCAACGCCCCTCCGTGTGTCGCCGGGAAGGCCTGGATCGCCTTGGTCAGCTCCTTCTTGAAGCACCCGAAGCCAGCGACGTCCAGGGGCTGGGTGATGTGGGACATGTGGGAGGGCAGCTGGACGAGGTGGATGTTGAGGGACCTGGCCAACTCCACGACTTCCAAGCTCACGTGCGACGCGTGTCCATCCAGCACGAGCACAAGGGGTTTTCCATCGAGCAAGTTGCGCTAGCTGCTCGTGGAAGTCCATGATGTACTTGATGAACACGTCACCACACATGAAGGGCGACTCCGTGCAGGTGTACGTCGCACCCGGCGGGCCGTCCTGATCCACGATCCAATCTCCGTTGAAACACTGCCCTTTGAATATGATGGTAGGGGCCAACACGGCGCCGGCGGCGTTGACGGTGGTGACGATCGTGCAGTTCTCTCGCGAAGTGGAACGCATCTGCGGGACCACCGGCTGCCCCCGTTTCGCATAGACCCGCTGTCCCTGGGCACCTTGAATGGTGCCACCTACAATGATAATTTGTGGTGGAAAGGCGCGCGTGGGGGAAATCAAAGCGGATGGAGAGTAAGTAGAGGCAAAACAGCGCTCACACGCACCACCAACGTCCAGCCTACCGTGGGTTGGGGGCGCGGGGGAACGGGTTGGGCAGACGCACAGGGTGGAATGTCCTCACATGTGAAATGTTCCCCAGCTGCTGCAGAGCTGCTTCACAATAACAGAAGTGTAGAGCACAATCTAGCCTTTGGACCAAGGGCGAAAAGACATCTAGATCTAGGCTTCAGAGTAACAGCAGTAGACTAGTCGAGGAGGTGAGCAAGATGCACAACGCAGCAGCATCACAAACAGCTTCAACTTCCACACGTCAATTTCGCGTCTGTGCTGCGTAAGAACATGTGTAGCACCATGCGAAAATTCCTTTCAAACAGCGTGTGTAATTACTGCCGACATGATCAAGGACCCCGAGCAGCACCCAGCATCGTACACAACAGCAATTTGCGCGTTCATCCAGCAGTGGTCCTCTGCACGCAGCATGTAATGTGCATGCGGGGGAGCGGGGGAACTCCAATTTTCAGCAGCATCAGAACTCCGCGTAATTTTCACGTTGTGCATTTCTGCTGAAAACGTAGAAACAAGCCCGCAAACCGCGACACCGCAGCTGCTGCTGACACCACACCAGTAGTCTAGACTACTCTATGCTCACCTGACTCGTCCGTGTTGCAAATGTGGTCGGCCGCAGGCCTGTGCTCGCCGAGAAACTCCGCCCAAAAATCGTAGAACTTGTGCAGACGCTCATCCTCTGACGAGGTCATCCGGTTAGACTCGTAGATGCGGGCGAGTCGATGGCTGATGCCCTCGTGCCTTCCAAGGAAGCTTTTGAGCCAGTCCTTCCCCGGGCCCTTGTCACTGATCCACGGGACCGGCCGACCGTCGTTGCAGAGCGGTCTCACGCATTCCGTGAGGTCTGCGGTGGTGAGAGGAATGAAGTTTCCACCAGCGTACAACAGGAGATCTTCCACCGCGTCCTCCTTTGCTTTGGTCATGACAGTCCCGGGGCCAACCCTCGCGCCCATGGCGCAATTACCATCCAGAAGCCGCTGGAGGGAGCTTCTACCCACCCAAAGGCAGCTGCAGCGGCGTTCTGTGACATGCGACCGCCGCGTACCGCTTCACACGCCTTTTCAGCGGCTACGGGGTCCACTCTCTGCCGACCTATGCTTGGCAGCAGGAGCCCGACAAGGGCTAAGATGCCCCACATCAAGAGCGCTGGTGGGCGGGTTGCTGTATCTCGTGAGTGCGAGACCCGATCGCGACGCTGAAGTGCTCAAAACGAAAGCTAACGGAAAACTGAACAAAATTGAAAAAAACAACGGGGGCCGGCAGAGTGTGCGCCGAGGTATGCCCATTTGAAAAAAATGCCCTTCATACCCCACCTGCCCTTAGTTGGTCCGGATATTCAACTGGATATGGAAACACGAGTACGCGCCGAAGAGATGGAGAGAAGGAGTAGTCGTGAACCTGTTCAAAAAGGGGGATAAAACTGACCCGGGGAATTATAGAGGGATAACCTTGCTGAGCACAGTGAGTGGGAAACTCTTTGGCAAGATGATAAACAATAGAATGGGAGACATGTTGGAGGGGAAACAAAAGATCAGCGAAGGACAAGCTGGATTTAGACCAGGTCGTACGTAGTTGTGTAGACCATGTATATACTATACGTTGAGTAAAATTATCCAAGGTAGGAAAGACGCCGGGCGTACGACATACTGTTTCTTCCTAGATGTACAAAAAGCCTTCGACACCGTTTGGCGCAATGGACTGTGGAAAAAGATGTGGGACATAGGGATCCGGGGGAAATTGTGGAGGATGTTGAAAAATATGACAGAATGCACAAGAAGTGCAGTGATGTTGGATGGGGAAATCTCGAAGTACGTGGATATACTCCAAGGAGTCGCACAGGGCTGTACGATGTCACCCACTCTTTTCAAGATTTATTTACATCAACGACTTGATAAGGGCGGTTGAAGCAGTAAGACAGGGAGTCCAAGTAGGGGGAAAGAGTGTGTCCGGACTGATGTTTGCAGATGATTTCGTGGGGGTATCCGAAACACCAGAAGGGTTGCAGGAACAAATAGATGCGGCAGTAGGATACACCCGAAAATGGAGATTGTCGGCGAACGTAGGAAAATGCGCAGTAGTGGTCTGTAACGAAGACAAGACAAATCCCGTAGAATTCAAATGGAAATGGGGGGGGGAGGAAGAACTACCGGTAGTAGACCGGTATACGTACCTGGGAGTAGAGATTTCGAAGGAGTGCTCATGGGACGCACACATAGCAAAGTTGTGTGGGAAGGGTAAAGCTCAGATAGGCAAGATGGACGAGATCCTTACGGACCCACACCTAGAC